ATACAAATGGCCAATAAACGTATGAAAAAATGTTCAACATCACCAATGATTATGGAAATGCAAATTAAAACCACAGTGAGATACCAACTTACCCTTGTCAGAATGGCCATTATTAAAAAGTCAAAAAAAACAGTAGATGTTAGCGCAGATGCAGTGAAAAGGGAATGCTTATTCACTGCTGGTGGGAATGTAAATTAGAACGGCCTCTGCGGAAAACAGCATGGAGATTCCCCAAAGAACTAAAAGTAGACCTACCATTCAATCAAGTATATCTACCATTCAATCCAGCCATCCCACTACTGGGTATCTACCCACAGGAAGAGACATCATTGTATCAAAAAGGCACCTGCACTCATATGTTTATCAAAGCACAATTCACAATTGCAGATATGGAATCAGCCTAAGTGCCCATCAATTCATGAGTGGATAAAGAAATGTGGTATATATATATACACCGTGGAGTACTACTCAGCCATGAAAAGAATGAAATAATGTCTTTCGCAGCAACTTGGATGGAACTGGAAGCCATAAGCCAAGTGAAGTATCTCAGGAACAGGAAAACAAATACCCCATAAGTGGGAGTTGAACAGTGGGTACATGTCACACATGGTATAAGGGACTTTAGAGACTCGGAAGGGAGGAGGTGAGCAGGGTGAGGGTTCAAAATCTACCCATGAGGTATAATGTACACTATTCGGGTCCTGGGTTCACTAAAAGCCCTGACGTCACCACTATGTGCTTCATCCACGTAACAAAAAACCACTGTACCCCCTAAATCTATTGAAATTAAATACATACATGCATATGTACATTAAAAAAAAAAAACACAAAATATCACAAGTAAAAGTTAAGATCTAGGAGAAATCAGGATACAAACAAAATGTTCTATAAAAATAGAAATTCAAATTCACATTATGATGCTAATAACTCTTCTTCCTTAAGCTACTTTGGACCAGTAGGTCTGTTTGAAAGAAAAGCCAAAGTAACAACTTTTCCTAGAATTTGGAAAATAAAAGGGAAAAAATACGTTTTGATAACCTTTTGATTTTTCTCCAGTATTTTTGCTATGTGTATTATTATTTGTTGTTATGTTTTTTATACTATTCTATAGCTTTTGCCCCATAGACTTCCCAACCTTTATTTTTAAATATTGTATAACATTTCAAGATATTTCTATTTTGCTATTATTGAATACCTAATTTGCTTAAAATTTTAAATTGTTATTGCTAGGATGCACACAGTAGAGATTATGGATTTTCTGTTTTTCATGTTATTTCTTTAGAAAAAAATTGCTATAAGTATGCCCACTGCTAGCAATATTAGCATTTTATGTCTTTTGCCATCAGTTGTCAGATTGCTTCCTAATTTATAGAAATTTATAATGTCATTAATCTTAGCACATCTTTTTCATCATGGCTACTTTTCAATAATATTTTCCACGGCAGTTGTAACTAGGAAACAGGCCACTAGCTGTTTAAGAGAGTGTTAACTCTTTTCATATCTGATTTATTCCCAGTTTGCCTTTGACGTTGTTATAAACTGCTTTTGATTGTACTATTGAGACCTTCCTAAATTGTTTTTCTTAGATCAGACGCCCTTCACTGAGTGGAATGCCCATTAGATCTTTGGAAGAGATTAAAAACCTCTTCCAGAGATTGTCTGTCCGAAGATCAAGTTCACCATCGCTGGCCAGTGGGAAAGAGCCACCTTCTGGAGTTCCCAGCGCCTTCGTGAGCAGACTTTCTCTCTTTAGCCGAGGGAAGCTGACCTCCCCCGTGGAGGAAGAGGGCTCCCAGGGCGCCAGCAGCTCAGCCTGCTGCACGGAAACCGAGAGAAGCAGCAGCGATGCAGGCCTGGCGAATGGCGGGGTGGAAGCCCCTGCCGGACAGCCCCCGGCCTCCAGCCTGTGCTACGAGGCCGAGAGCCCCGACGAGGCCGCCTTGGTGTACGCCGCCAGGGCCTACCGCTGCACTCTGCAGGCCCGGACGCCAGAGCAGGTCATGGTGGACTTTGCCGCTTTGGGACCATTAACATTTCAACTCCTACACATCCTGCCCTTCGACTCAGTAAGAAAAAGAATGTCCGTGGTGGTCCGGCACCCCCTTTCCAACCAAGTTGTGGTCTACACGAAGGGTGCCGACTCCGTGATCATGGAGCTGCTCTCCGCAGCTTCCCCAGGTAGGTTCCGACAAAGCCGAGATGAAGGGCTCGGAGATTGAAGGGCCTCTCTCAGTAGCTTTGTGGAAGCAAAGAAGTAGTTGTTTAGGGATCCGTAGCATATGGTGAAGTAGGAGGAAGCTGCCTAGCGTTCGGTGGGGAAGCAATTGCATTTTGGGGCTACCCAGATCTGGTTCAAACCTGATCTCCATCGTTAGCTGTGTTTCGATAAAGTTACCTAACTATTCTGTGCCTCCGTCTTCCATTAAATGGGTCTTAAAGTGGCCCCTTTATAGGCTCCTGAGAGGTTTAATGACATACGATGTATGAGCAGCCTTTGGCCAAGTGCCTGGCAAATGTCAGGTGCTCAGTAAATGACAGCTAGCACTGTCGTAGTTATTGTTGTTATCGATGGTGTGGGGACAGCGTTTTTTACAAGTTCTTGGTACTTTTCCTCTGCCCAAGGAGAAAGGAGCAAGAGAAAGGTTTATTCTGAGGGGTCCCTTTTATAAATACCCACTTGGGATTCAAAACTAGAAGGCCTTTTGGTTATAGTGGATTAAGCTATCACTGTTTTTAAAAATATGTCTGTAAATCGGGTGGACGGGTAGGAACACTACTGCTTTGTTCATTATTGCAGATGAAGGAAGTCTGGAAAAACAACAGCTGTTAATAAGGGAGAAAACCCAGAAACACTTGGACGACTACGCCAAACGGGGCCTGCGCACTTTATGTGTAGCGAAGAAGGTGAGGCTGCCTGGTACGCTCTGTTTTTTCGCTTCTTTCCCTTGTTTAGACGTCATTTACCGAAAACCAGCGTGCGTCAAACCCTAATCCAGGCACTGGGGAAAGTCCCTGGACCCTGGCTGTCTTTTAGACCAGCTTTAATTTTCCCCTTAGAAGTTCTTGGTATTTTTTTCTTACATGCCCATAAGCCTTTATCTATAAGTTTACTAGATATTATCTCAGTATTGATTATTCTCTATTGAGAATAATTTGGGTATGTAGCATATCCTTTCTAAATAAAAAAATTAAATAGTAAGAAAATAAGACAATGCTCCAAAGAAATCACCTGAGGGATGTTCTTACCAGGACCTCTGATTTCTTACCCAAATTCTAGTTCCGGGGAGCTGCGGTAGGGAAAGTGGGATCTGGAGCTCAGTCAACCACCTACATGGAGGGTCAAAACCCGGCCCCACACACAGTTGTAGGAAGAATGGAGAGTTCAAGATCGGACTAACTTTCTGGCTTTTCAGCTGAATGAGGTTGCCCCTGAGAACAGTGCGGCCCAAGAGATGTCAGATTCTCCCAAATCAAATTACCTCGTGGGCAAGAATGAGTAGATGGAGAAATCGCCCCATTCCCTTTACTCTTCACCCCACCCTGCTCGATAAGAACCGAAACGTAGATTTCTCCCTTATGGCAAATCAAAGACAAAGGGAAATACATCATCACTGGCCGCTTCTCCGGGAATTTCACTTAATTCTTGTTTGGAATAAGACTTACCTGTTCATTCACACGGCTCCTCTCTTTTTACCTTTTTAAATCATTAACTGCATAAAATAACCGTCAAAAGATATCACAGGTGCTGCTGGCTACAGAATCCCTCAAACTGAACAGCCCAGATACCATTTTCTCAATGACACTGTTAGAATCACCCTGGATTTAACTACTAGTTGGAGACCTCTCCCAACCGTGTCTGTACTTCCTGGTTTAATTAAAGAGTAACCCACTTTCGTCATATATGGTACCTAGAATTTCCACAGGGTCCGTCGATCATCAGTGTTGCACCAGTCTGAACACGGAGCTTGGGAAGCTCGCGTCCAGCTAGTGTGAGAGCATAGACCTGACGCGACGGTGCCCAGAGGGAGGAATACCTAAAACAGGTCGACAGCTTGATATTTTGCCAGAGGTCAGTCCTGGTAGGATCCTGCAAGATCA